AAGTTATGAGTTTTGCTAGGATTCTAAGTTCAGTACAGGATATGAAAGTCAGCAAGCTTCCAATCGATGCAACCAGCTGCAATGCCACCATCAGTGCTTGTGGAAACAATGAGCAATGGCAGCCTGCCCTAGCTCTCTTCAGCAGCATGAGACTATTGAAAGTGGCTCCTGATCTTGTTGGTTTCAATGCTGCCATCACTTCGTGTGAAAAGGCGGGACAGTGGCAGTTGGCCCTGGGCATCTGGGCTCTTATTAAGCAACTTACGGTTGATGAGATAAATCCTGCATTACCTTTACAGCCCTAGACTCCGGGAGTTATGGTATATTCCGCAATGTGGGAAATACAGGGTTGATATCATCAACCGTGGTGTAATTTGCCATAGGAACGAGAGGAAGACTACAGTAGTAACCGTAATAGCCAGGAAGCAATACTCTTTGCTATAGATCCCTATTTTGGTTCCCTACTGTGGCAACTTAATAAATAAGGAAGTCATATTGTTTAAGGCAAAATTCTGGTAATGTAGGAACCCCAAAATAGTAGGGTTCACATAAGGAACCCTACTAAAGGCCCAAGTTATGTGAATCAGGTTCCTGCATTAGCTAATTCCTTTTATTCTCCTCAGAAAGAGCCTAGGCTTGCTCCTTGAGATGCCTCGGTACCAAGTTGCTCCGGATGTGATCAGCTATAGTGCGACTGGGTTCTTGTTACCGAATGTATTTTAGGGATCTATAGTAAACCTTGTGGTTTCCTCATTATGGCAACTCAAACTAAATCCTTTAACAACAACCCAGGCGAGCATTGGGGCCTGCGAGAAGGCAGCGAAGTGGCAGTTGGCAGCATCCCGGTTTGAGGAATTGCATGCGAGACAGCTGCAGCCGACTGTCATCAGCTACAGTGCGATGATCAGTGCATGTCAGAAGGCAGGCCAATGGCAGTTGGCTTTGCACTTCTTCAGTGAGATGCCTCGCGCAGAGGTTAGACCCAATGTCATTAGCCGCTGGCATCCGGACGAAGCTCTTTTCGTTTGCGGTTGACACGGGGGGTTTAATATTAAGCTCCATTCGGACACGACGCATTGACGGCTTGCTGTGAATGTGACTAAGGCTACAATGCCACGATCACCGCCTCTGAGCGGGGTGGTCAATGGCAGCTGGCTCTTTTCCTCTTCAACTGCATGCCAAGAGCTCGAATCAGTCCAAGTATCACCAGCCCCTCTGTCGTCAAAACCACGTCAAACCATTGTCGATTGTTGGCTATGCTGCGACGGTTCCGGGATGCTGTTAATGGTCTTCCAGATTTGCATGAACACAAGGTCAGACGTGGTCCAGTCGAGCATTCGGTGTTCTAATCATGGCATTTGCCAAGGTTTGTGCTGCCTGTTTCTTTTGGGTCTTATACAGGTACCCAACTTTATCCATGCTGGGGCCCTGGAAGTATAGCCATTCCAGTGTTTGCACTTGGGTTGAGCCTGGGAGGCTTTAACGCCACCCTCGCTGCGTGTGGGAAAGGGGAGGAGTGGCCTTTGGCACTGCACCTTTTCAGCACGATGGCAGAAGCTTGGCGTTCTTCTGGTTGACTCTTAGCACTTTAACTTTTTGGGTTTCTATATGAACTATAGTAAGGAGGCTAACAGTTTAACTTTTAGGAGGGGTTCAGAAGTCAGCCCAGGAAGCACGCGCCAGCCCAAATATCATGAGCTACAATGCTGTGCTGCTTGGCTGTTCCAGCCTGGTTACGGTTGTAGGTCTCGGATAGCTCTTGAAGCTCTCTTGGTCGACAGCAGACTCGGCTGAGCAATGATGATGCCCACTTATGTTTAAATCCTGGACCCTACCCTCAACTCTAAACCCTAAACCCTGAATCCCGCTCAGGCTGGATTCCCTTGGCGACCAGCCCGTTGGGCGGCGGGTTTTCCAGGAGGCCATGGACACCGGCGTTTATGGCCGGCTCTGTGACGAAACCCCGTTGATCTTGGAATCCCGACTGCAAGCAGAGGGGCCGGGATGAACTGTTCGGTTCTTAGTAGGGAATGGGGGCATGGGTTATTGGGATTACTTTAGGGGACCGGAAGGGGCTATCACAGGGATCCATTTCCCCTTTCCCTACTAAGAAGAACCGGACACTCAAAGGATGTCCTACGTAGGAGAACCGAGAAACACTGACCTCGGACTCTATGGAGCAGTTCTAAGCAGCACAGGACTTGCATCAGCTTTCCTACGGGCCGGCCATTCATGCAGCATCTCGACTGCGTCTTCGGCGTGGGTACCGCTTCCCCCAGATCCAAAACCTTAAATCGTCGACTAAAAGCCCCTAAGCCTGATAGAGGGTAGATGGAGGGTCTAGGCGGCCTGTCGAAGAGGGCGTGCAGTGCTGCAGCCTGTGGAAGGTGGCGCCGCCTAAAACCTCAGTGCGGCGATTTTGGAAGTTTTGGTGTATTCATGTGTCTGGCTTTGTGCACCACCAAAGTTCGTGTGTGCATGCGTGTGTGTGTGTGTGTGTGGGTGGGTGGGGGTGTGGGTGTGGGTGTGGGTGTGGTTGTCTCTGTGTGTTCTCTTACATTGTACTGTAGTATAAGGCACGCGCACTACGCATATGCAGCATATCCATACCTTGTGTGTGAATGTTACTTGTTGTGAAGATCCATTGTTTTGGGATGATGCCTCCATCGGGGTCGGGCAAGACATGTGGTTTCGCGTGTCCAAGGTGAGCTGGTGGCTCTCGGAAGAACTGATTCATCATGTGAGCTCTACACAGCGAACGACGTGTACCTTCGCCTTGTCCCACAAGTTTTATTTGTTTCCGTAGTGCTCCAGTTGCCTGAATATATAGTATGTTACTAACCGTACACATTATACCTCAGTAACCTACTATTTAGGTAACTGGAGCCCTAGAAGAACTGATGGTTGATCGGGTCGGCTTTGCCGAAACAAAGCTGGGCAGATAGGGCCTTGTAGCTTTTGGATTTAGGGGTTGGGGTCCTCAGTGCAGCACGAGGCTTGCAGGTTCTAGAGTCTAGAGCTTGTGGAGCGTGTCGGAAGGCTTGCATCTACTGTCGTGACTGTTGTCCAGCGCTAAATCCGGAAATCCTGAAAAGGATGGTGTTAATCCTTTCTTTAGAACGCAATTCGCTCCGCAAGCTTGCCCGCGGTTTACAGTACATACCCATATTAGGCTCCATAGTAATATAGAACCCTATGAGGTAATCCCCAAAAGGAACCCCTATGGAGCCTATGGCCTAAAGGTAATCAAGCTAGGCGGTCAAATTCCAAGGAGCAGGTCCTTTGCACCTTTTACTCGTTAGATTCAATACTTGAGGGCCTTACCTTAACCCGGAATAACCCACCTTTTTAAGGACTTATATAAGGAAATCATATAAGGGGACCTTAAAAAGGAAGGCTATTCAGGGTTAAGGTACTGACTATTCCTCATCCTCCTCTGGGCGAGGCATCATCGTCACCGGCTGGGGAAAGACTCGACCCAGTTGGTCATCTTCGAATCTTCAGAATTTCGTCTTGGCTCTGTTGAAGCAATGGGGCCTACCCGCTGTGGCGCCTCTGCTAAATGTGAACAGGGGGTCTAGGGTTTGGGGTATGGCTCGGTGACTTGTAAGGTTTAAGACCGACGGCTTCGAGTTGCGAGGCTTGTCGAGCTCGATCAGGGCAGCAGAATGTGATCCACGGTTTACGCACGGGCGGTTTGACTCGTACAGAAGTCCGAATGCTGCGATACTCGCCCAAGGCGTACTTGGTTTTTGCATGGCATGCCCCAACGACTGTGTGCTTCAATATCTCGGGGTTGAATGCTGCTACACTCAAGTTAAGGGACGGAGCCCCAAGTTTCGCATGCGATTTAAAACCCACAGAGCCTTAAGCCGTAAGCCTTATCCCAAAAGCTCAGGTACAGCGGCAGAACCAAGGCCGACTTGAGGTGGTCCTGGGAAGAGATGAATTAATGCGTTTTGCTGGCTCACGGGTTCAAAAAGGCAATGCCAGCGTGCTGCCCCAAGGTATCCGGTACCTTGCAGACAGTGCAACCGAGCCCTGAAGCGTACATTCAGACGTACATGTCTGAAAGTCCTATTTTGTTGTTTAACCCAAAGGGTCCAAGTATATATCATTCTGGTATATACTTACAGGGCATTTTGGGGGTCTAAGTATAGACCATGATGATACTTGGACCCTTTGGGTAAAGTCATTTTCCTTACATCCGGACAAGCCCGACGTTCCAAGCAGAGAAGACACGGTACCTTCGGGGATGATTCTTGCTGAAGTTAACTCAGCTATCTCCAGGTGCCGCAAGCAGGGGTGCACTAGTTAATTTAGAAGAGCCCCAACTGTTGGTGAGCTTTGGGTACCTGCTGCCTTCCCGCCCATGCTGACTTTTTTGACCGTGGCAAACCCAAATCTCTGAGCCCCGCCCCAACCCCCCCCCCAAAAAAAAAAAAAAAAAAAAAAAAAACAAGAAGAAGAAGTGAACCCTCGAAGCCCTAAACCTTGAAGCCCCAAACTCTAAAACTGAACCTTACTAAAGGTCATAGAACCCTTACGTCAACTCTTGCAGTAAGCTCAATAGCAACGCCTGTGGTAATCGTTATAGTGACCTTTACTTTAACCCCTCTGGTCCCATAGCAACCTCTTTAGTAACCTCTGCAGTAAATCCCTAGGGCTCCAGTTATCGGAATAGTAGGCCACTCACCCTATATTACAAACCCAGTAACCTACTGTCTAGGTAGCTGGAGCCCTAGGGAAATCCCAAACCCCAAACCCTATATGCCCTAAACCCTATAAGCCCCTAACCCCTGAACCCTAAACCCCAATAAACCCCTAAACCCTAAACCCTAAAACCCTAAACCCCTAAACCCTAAACCCTAAAACCCTAAACCCCTAAACCCTAAACCCTAAAACCCTAAAACCCTAAAGCCCTAAACCCCTAAACCCTAAACCCTAAACCCCTATAAACCCCCAAACCCTAAATCCCAACAGCCCTCAGTTCCCATCAGGATTTCTCAGCGTTTACAACCAGCCGGTCGACTGCTATGCCGCCTGGGAGGTCCGGATTCTGGAAGGGATGGCCGCTTTAAGGCTCTAAAGGGAACTCCAGAAAGTTGGAATATGGATTAAGGGTAGGATCCCCATAATTTACCTGAAAGGGGTTACGATAATGATATTCCAACTTTCTGGGGCCGCTTTAAGGCTCTAAGGTTTACCTTAACCCTGAAGAACCCACCTTTTTGGGGTTCCCTATTATGATTTCCTTATATAAGTCCTTAAAAAGGTAGGTTCTTCAGGGTTAAGGCAGGGCTTATAACCCTTAAACCTTATAAACCCTAAACCCTAAACACGGTTTAAGGTTTAGGGCTTGGGGTTTGACTAAGGATTGCAAAGGCGTTTCTGGGGTGTTATGGTTGGTTCCGTGGTGTGTTCTAGATTGTCAGTGGGGTTTCGCAAATTTAGATGCCGGCTCTGGGGTCCTCACAGCAAGCATCCCAAGTTTGACTGCTGCACCCCCCCAAAGCCCCGCAAGCCTCTCTGTCCCCCGACCTACCGCCATTGACACTGGAGCGTCGACTCGACCTATCTACCTATCTGACAGGAGCTGTCAAAGATCAGGGCTCTTGTGGCTTTTCGGATTCCTGAGCCTGGGCGAATTCTACATCAGCGGTCCCCATTGTTTTTGTGGGGTGGCATTGAGCACATTTCACAATTTTGACTTATGTTTCTGACAAACTGACGGCATCGCATGCCTTGCGTTTTTTCGTCCGGGGCCTGAGGGGACGTCCATGAGTTTCAGGTCTGGGATCCACAACTCACAGAATCCATAACATGGTCTAGTTTGGGGGTTCCTTATTATATTTGTAGTGTGCTGGGCACCCAAACCCTATTCTAATTATGAAGGCTCCTGCAGTAGAACCCGGCCATAGATCCCCCACAGAGCCTATGGCTCCCAGTTGGAAGCAGGGAACGTTTCAGGACTTGTAGGTTTTAGGGTTAGGGCTTACTGGGTTTAGGGCTTATAGGGTTTAAGGCTTTTAGGGTTTAGGGCTTATAGGGTTTAGGGCTTATAGGAGGGGTTTAGGGTTTTGGAAAAAGGTCATGGCCACGAACTCAATGACCTTGTGTCCTTTGTTCTGTCTTTGTTGCCATCACATTGCATCTTCTCTCACGTGATTTGAAAGCCCCAATCCATGCACCGAAATCTATTTTTTGGTGGTTCCTGATTAAGTATAATGGTAGTATAGTCGGCCCCAACGCCCTATTCTAATTTATTAAGGCGCGTATCTCTTCTTCCGGCTTCGGGCGCACAGGTGCAGCTCTCAAGATCGCAGCAAAGCGCGAAGTAGTTGTGTCGAGCCTGCTGCGATTGAGACTTCTCGAAGCCTTGTGTCGAGCCTGCTACGACTTCCTCGAAGCTTTGTGTCGAGCCTGCTGCCATTGAGACTTCCAACAAGCCTTGTGTCGAGCCTCCTGTGACTGAGACTTCCAACAAGCCTTGTGTCGAGCCTGGTTCGAATGAGAAGCCTTCTGACAACCCTGGGGCTACCAACCAGACTGGAGCTTTTACCGACAGTGGACTGCGACGTGCACAACCTTTGAGCCCTGATGATGTGGCTGGTTCTGCAGCAGCTTTGCTCATCGCACGGACAAGTACGAGGAGATGCAGTTCGCTAAGTGTGGGGTTTCCAGTACCTAAGGACCACAAACTCTCGTGTTTGAGAATTATCATCAGGCCCTACATAATAGCAATGCAGAGCCTTATTCAAAAGATACCGGAGCTCTAAGTTGCCAGACGCCTTGAGCACTAGCTCCGTACTCATGTAGCAGTCTGAACAATGAGTATATAAGAGCATCCCCGTTACAGTCGCTGTGCAATTATACTATATTGCACCTGAGCACCCAATCAATTTTAGTTTAAGGGCCCTAAACTAGTTACATACCTTTCGCAGGCCCTGGAGCTACCAGAGTTTGACGTTTTGGTCACGAATCCACCATACTCGGGAGACCACGTCGCCGCTTGGAGGGGCACTTCAAGGTTGAAGATTCACAGCTGGACAAGGAAGTGTAGTACTCTACCTTTTTCTGGAGTCTCTTATTGTAGGATCCGTAATATAGGTGATCAACAACGGTTCACGATCTTGGTCCAGGCGGGGCTTGAAGTTAGGGTTGGTGAAGTTGGGGGGTGTCGATTTCCAGGCCTGTAGTATAGGGGACTTAGATTTATAGTTACCTGAGGGTTCCTCTAAAAGGGGTCTACAAAGATTACAATAAGGGGTACATGAGGGTTTAGTATAGGGGCCTTAAACAAATAATTGCCTGTACTATTTTAGGGGCTCCACTTATTAGTTGTAGTATAACGGGCCCCAAAACTCTAGGCTAGTTCTTACGGCCCCTAGGTTAGAGCTTTCGTTCGGGAGCTTCATGGCTCACGGTGAGGGGGGCTCTCTTTCTGAGTCGCTGGAGCCTTGACGCTCAGCCGCTTGTGGATCGAGCCCCCGGATGTAGCAATCGACAAAGATCAGCCGGAAGGATGTGCCTAAGCAATACGGTGACTACAAAGTGCAGTTCATGTTTTGGCGTGCGTGTGTTCTAGAATGTGCTGACTGGCTGGCAATGCAGACGATCAGCATGGCTTTGGTGATGAGGAATGCAAAACCTGCTTTTCAGGTGTAGAACTGCCTAGAATGCCCGACCGACAGGCCATTGCTGTAGCCTGTTTCCCTGTTTCCGGAAACTGCAGGTACATTCCGGGTAGTTGTTTAGCCTTCTTATAGATTCATAGGCCCCTTCCACAGCTCTTGCATGATTCTGCTTGTTCAGATCCCGTCCTACGCAGATGGGCCCAGTCAAAGTTGAGAATGACAGCTTTGCGGAGTTTGCGCGGGACGTCCTGGGCCGGTGTTGGGGTACTGGTGACTTCACAGTAGTCGTGGAAGAGCAGGTGGGTGACCAGACAGAAGAATGCACTGAGAGTCCGAATGGGACGGATATCTGTCGCAAGGAGTTTGCCGTTCTGTCCGCTGTGCTGGGGACTGCCTCGCCGGTTTTTGAGAATATGGTCAAGCAAGATAACTTTGTGGAAGGTGCCAAAAGCCAAGTTACTATTACTGACTTTTCCTCTGCGGCGGTAGAAGCTTTCTTGCGCTTCTTGCATTTCGGGACTGTGGAAGGCAATCTCGCAACCGTCCTAGAGCTAGGAGTGCTGGCGGACAAGTATGCTGTGGGTAACTAGGCAGGGCTTTGGGACATTTTATATTTTCCCTTATTGGGCTTAAGAGGATCTTAGTTATACTAATAGTTTTCAAAGGCTTTAAAAGCCCCACCTAGGTAAGTTACACCGTCTCTGCACCGGCACCGTGCAAGACGAGCTAGTACCGACGACGGCGTGCACCATATTCGACCTGGCCGACAGGTTCCGCAATATGGATTTGCGCCGATACTCCTTGGACATGATCCTAACAGAACCGGCCATGACCATGAAAAAGCGTCCAGGCCTGAGCCCACAACTGGTGGAAGAGATTGTGGCTAGCGAGGCGCTCTGCATCGGCAGCGAGGATCTTCAGGATGGGTTGCGCGCGGGCTGATGGGGGGGGGTTCCGAAAATTAGGGGTACCTTAACCTTATTTTGGGGTTCTTGTAATAAGGATCATACTATATATTTAGGGTACTCTATTAGGGTTCCCAAATTTCGGTTCGGATATTTCGTATAGCATGCGAGTGATGGAGTGTGGGTTTCAGAGCTGTTGAGTTGACTGTGAGTGCATGGTCCTTGCTTGTCAATGCGGACATGCGAAGGGTGTACCATTCAGTCGCCCCAGCTGCTCGTGTGGCACTTCTTGCAGGCTTCGGAGTGTGTTATGAGCCCCCGGGTGCATGCCACCATGGCACTAAAGAGCGCAATATAGGGGCCGAAATAACTACCCACACCATCCTATACCTCCTGCTTATAATTATTGAAAAATGAACCACAAAACGCTATTCTAATTATTAAGGTCCCTACAGGATTTTTATCGATTCAGAAGCGAGGGCAGATAAGGGCAGCTGGGCCACAGACCAGCTCAAGCCCAGCACGCACTCCAAGCCAAAAGCAAGGCCGGAACGAATCAAAGCCATATGCGACCTTGTCTTTGTAGCTTTTTGTACTTATGTATCCATTTTTACATAGTTCGCTCCCAACTCTCGAGGACTTGATCTGCCATTGGGATGAGGCCTCCTCCGAGGAAGACCGAGAGGTCCAACGGCTGCTGCAAGCCTACGCCGAGGGGCCAGCAACTTGGTCCTGGGGTTTAGGGCTTACCTTAACCCGGAATAACCTGCCTTTTTGTATAAGGAAATCATATTAAGGGACCTTAAAAAGATAGGTCATTCAGGGTTAAGGTAGGGGTTTAAGGCGTTTAGGTTTCAGGGGTTTAGGGTTTGGGGTTTAGTGTTTAGGGTTTAGGTGTCTGGGTTCTTGTTAAGGGATTAAGGACCATAATAGGGATCTATGAGAGCTCCTTTAAGGGTTGAAGGATTCCTTTAAGTTACCAAACAGGGATCTATAAGGGCTCCTTTGATTCATGTACACGGGTTCCTGTAATTAAGGGTTTAGGTTTTTGTTAAGTTATCAAAATAGGGATCTATAGTAAATAACAGGATTTCTTTAGTAAGGTAACTTAACTTAACTCCCTTAGCAAGAACCCAGGCAACGACGCACCGACGAGTGGCCAGCGGTGATGTGCTTTTCGAGCTCAAGGAGCCATTCTGAAGAATCAAGACCCTCCCTCCTTTAAGAAGTTCCGGATAAAGCATATAAAAAGTTCATACAATCTAAAGCTTCATGGGATCATGGAAAGCCATCAGTTACGCTCCTTGCCTCCAGAGGAAAGCTACTGGGGTCGTGGGCGTCAAGTTGCCTTACTTCTGGGACCTCCCGAGAAAGACTGGAGTGATGCGGTCTCTGAGCCTGGCTTTCTGGAGGCACAGAGACTGTTCTGTTGGGCTGTCGTATTTTCGGGGTTTAGGGTTTAGGGGTTTAGGGTTCGAAGGGAGCTCTTAGTCGTTGTAAGATTATGTTGGCAGGCATTGGCCCACAACGACAACTTTCACACCTACTCCATTGCAATACAAGATGGCTGGATCGTTTGGATGATGCCCTTCGTATCGCTCTACCTCACAGGCTTCTCCTTCAATGCCCGAGTGCTAATCGATGAAGTCCACTTCAAAGTTTTCTGCTCCGAAGATGGTATTGACTGGAAGCTATGTTTAGATTCCAAAGAGCATGGCAACATCGAAGAAGACGAGGATGTCTGCTGCGAGCACCGTCATGTGAAATGGCTGTTTCTCGGTCATCATCTTGGGTATGCAGGTCAGCTTTTGTTACTGTGCCATTGTGTTATTGGAGAAGCGAGCTAGCAATTAAGCGCGAGGGGAAGCTCCCAATCATGATCCGAATCTGCAGTGTGATCATCATCTCCCTCTTCATCTCTGCTCCATAATCATCGCCATCTTCAGACATCATCATCACGAGCATGGTCATCACCATCCTCCTCATCACGTCTGGCTCCGGGAACATGTAAGGTGCTGCCCAATACAGATGTCAATTGTTCGAAAAGAGCAATTTTCCAGCTCTGGGGTATATTGTACCATAATCATAATAAGGAACCCCCAAAATAGTATCGGCAACTGGAATTATTGAAACAGTGTTACCAGGAAACGGAATCCCGCACACAGGCAGAGGAATCCCGGAATCTACCCAACGAAGCGACTCCAAGGCCCTCGTGGTAAACTTTGTAAACATTGCAAGCCGCTCTCAGTGTGGTTTCAGGCTCCACCGTAAACCCTACACAGAATTTTAAGCCTCAGGGTCAGCAGCCCAGGAAGCTTTTAGTCGTGGACGGGCGCTTCTCCACAGACTTCTGCGTGAGTGGCATTCTCCTCCAACCATTTGCGCGGTTTGAATTGTAAAAAAGCATATGAATGGTATGAGCATCAAGGGGACTCTGTGGGAACATTCTTGCTGCTCTCACAAATCCCTATGCATTATAGGCCTAGGCTGACTTAGGCATACACAGCCACGTACATAAATGTGTGTGTGTGTGTGTGCATGTATTGATGTCTGCATGTATGTATGTGTATATATGTATGTATGTATGTATGTATTACCCCGGACCTAAATGATTACCTATACTATTTTGGGGGTTCAAGGTTTAGGGTTTAGGGTTCCTTAGTATAATTGTAGCATAATGGTAATGGGCCCCAAACGCCTGTTCGAATTATCAAGGCCGATTGCTCATACATCCCAATGAGACATCATCATCAACCCGAACACCGAGTTTCAATATACAGGAAGAAGCCAGACTTCTCTGAAACGAACTCGAAGCCTCAGCCAACCGAACGTAGTCACCTCTAAGTCCCACAAAAGCCACCAGTAGCAAAGGCTCAGCTGTTTCAGTTCGCTGCAACCTGCAAACGCTCCTCGGCCACAACCTTCCAGTGCTCGGGATCTGTTGAACTCCAAGTTAAACCCTAAATTCTAAAGATGTGAGTCGTCATCGTTCAGGGCTCGCCACTGGCACCGCCCTGCTTCGGCTTCAACATCACCCTCACCTCTGTATTGTCATGGTTCTGATTCTTGTGAAGCCTATTGCTATGGTTGCTGGCGTTATGTCAATGGCTGCCGGTGCATTCTCTGACAACGGCGAAGGCTAGCATGTTGCCGCTGAAGACAAGTATGCTGACGGTAGTGGCGATTATGTTGCGTATGAGACCTGTCGGTGGTGTTGATGGTGAGGACGAAAAGGTTCTGGCTGTGTCTTTACAGGTAGTGCTGCTTCTGGCCTTGCTGCAGTAGCTGCTGCTGCCTTTGTTCTTCTAGCCGTTTGTTCATATTGCTATTGGTGGTGCTGCTGGCGCTGCTCCCCCGCCGCGGCTGCTGCTGCTCTTGTTGCTGTTGACATTGCTGTTGCTGCTGCTGTTGCCGCAGTGGTAGTTTTCGTAGTCATAGCCGCAGTCGCGTGGTTATGCTGGCTTGTTGCTTGTTGTTGTTTTCCAGTCGTTGGTGGTGCTGGCAGTCGTGCTTGCGGTGGTGCTAGTTGTTGTTGCTTGTGCTGGTGGTGCCGGTGGAGTTGCTGTTGCTGTTGTTGTACTCTTGCTGCTACTGCTGTCGTTTTGTGCTCTTGGCTTTCCGACCGATGTCTTCGGAGGGTGGCGATGGTGGTGTCCGAAGCACTGAGTCTTATTGCTGTGAACCTGGCCACTTCGTGTGCCGGTGCTTCTGCTGCAAATGCTACTTGCCGCTGCTACTCCTTCTGCCCCTGCATTCAAGTACTCGTGTCGCTGCGGGGTGTGATTAGGGTGGAGTCGTGTGGAGAGTGTCCGGCTTGGTATTACACAATAGCCGTAATTGGTGAAGTTGTGATGTTGGGCACCCCTGACACGAAAGGACAGTGACTTTCGACTGTCGAGTAGGTGGTTTGTGTGGATCCAGCTTGTGCGGAACATGTAGTGACTCTGGTGTGCATTGCACAGACGTCGAGGCTGTAAGGATCTTTCCAGTGTATAGCAACACCTTCTAATTCTAAGCCGAAGCATGTGCAGGTTGATTTTCCTCGCAAACTTGCCAAGCTTTACATGAAACTCGAATCGCAGACCCTCAAGGGTACTGTCCAGGTACTATATTGGGTTCCTATCAGGGTCATTATCTATGGTTCATGTAAGGATACTATAGGGGGTGTTAGGCTTCCTCTACTAGCTGTATTGCTACCACAGCGAGCCTGCGCAAGCCCCCACTCCCACTGGAAATTTGAGTTGCAAGGCCCGTGTTTGATGCTTGCCAGGAACACAGTTACGGGGGGTGTTTTGTGAATTCGATTCAGGGCTTCGCAATTGCCAGACTCCTTGTCCGGACATACAGGCCTTGCGCAGCTGTACTTGGATGTTGAGTGTAAGGATTGCTCCAAAATTTCAGCCTTCACGAGGATTTCGAGTGAAGTTTCAAATTTCGTGGCAAGAATCCAAGCCGTTGCTGATGCTTCACATCCAAAAATTTCGAGGTTGATACGAGAGACTACTTCAGTTTCACTTCCGAGAGTTGTATTGCAGAAGTTATGCAGTACCCCCTAGATACTCCTAGCCTCTGATGTGACACGTCCCGTAGCCTTTGCCCAAATTTCGAGATCCAGAGCCCCATTTTGTCGAGGTTTCAGTTGCTCTGTTTCCTCCCAGGCCTGAACCTACAGATCCCTTTAAAGGATCCCTTATAGCAATCCCTATAGATCCCTTTAAAGGAACCCTTATAGTAATCCCTATAGATCCCTTTAAAGGATCCCTCCTCCTAAGGTGAATCCTGAGGTTGGATGCCAAACCCTGATACAGGGGCCTGAATAATTACAATAGGGTTTTGGGTTATCGTATACCATAATTACAAGTACAACAGGGTTTTGGGCTATAGTATACCGTAATTACAAGTACAACAGGGTTTTGGGGCATCGTATAACATAATTACAAGTACAATAGGGTTAGGGTTATAGTATACAATATTTGCAACAAGGGGCCGTATTGGTCCCCCAAACCCAAGAACCAACCTTCTCAAAGAACCAGCCTCGCCAGAATCCCCCCCGAAACCCAAATGATTCCTTGGCAATCCTTCGCGATCTCTGATTCCTCTGTAAAATGGGCTCCTGAAGCTTACCCCATGCCCCATAGTAGTTCCTTTCGGGGGTTCATATTCAGAATCCTATAAGGTAATCCCAAAGAGGAACTGCTATGGAGCAGATGGGTATACAAAAGACTATCCAAGTCTCAGGTGCCGAATTTTACCATCGAAGCCGCCAGCTTCGATAAGTTCGATGAGAAGTCCCTCCTCTTTTTGGGGCCCCTGAAGAGGTCCTTGCCCTAGGGTTCAGGGTTGTGGGGTTTAGGGTTTGGGGCTTTCGGTTTTTGGGTTTTGGGGTTTTGGGTTTTGGTGTTTAAGGTTTAGGGTTTAGCTCCTTGCCTCTGCCGCACCGAGTTGTGGAGACAAGCTGTTTGCTCTTAGCTTCTCTAGATAGGGCTTTGGGACATTGTATATTTGCTCTTATTGGGCTTAAGAGGATCTACTAAAGCACCTCCTAGTTCTCCTTTTCATGAAGGTGCTCAGGCGCTGGAACTTCGAGTTTGGGACGAGCGTCCTGGGGCAAATTTCGTTGAGGAGTTCGTCTGCCCATAGGCGCCATAGTAGTTCCTTGTTGGGTGTAATCTAGAATGCTGTAAGGTAGTCCGAAAAAAGGAACTACTATGGAGCCAATGGGTAGTTCATCGTCGAAGTTTGGTGCATTGAGTCCCAAGCAAGCTTCAAATGATTGTATGGCTGTGAGCCTGAGAAACAAAACCTTTCGATCCGCTGTTGAATCGGAGCATGTGATGCTGACATGCCTGGTTGCGAGGGGAGACTCAAGGAGACAGCATGATACGTTCCTAATCAAGAGAGCCGCTGGTGGCCATCCTTGTCGCCGCTATGCGACTTTCAGAAAACAAGCTATAAGATACCATATAATCTCACGGTCACTTTATAAACTGTAAAGGACCTGTAGAGGGTAAAAGCATAGAATCCACCAAGAGCCCGGCAGATCTTATGCACAGACCCAGCGAGCAATGTATGACGACATCCACTGGAGCAGGTAACTTGAGCCAAGAGGGTTCTGGATTTTCCTAGCTGTTGTCGTTCACATCTTTGGCAGCTCCAGGTACAGCTACCGAAGCCCCGCGAACCTGCGTCCCGAGTTGGGAAACAAGCAAAGGCATCTCCGGTTTGGTGCTGGTGCCCTGCTAACACAGCAAGCCCAGTAATGCGAAAGGGTTCATGGGGCGCAGGTCTGGTTGGCAAAAGTGGATTCTACGCCAGTGCGACGAAACTAAACTCTCTATATCCCCCTGTGTTTATTGTGTCAACTGGTGGCCCAAAGACTTATTCACGGGCTTTGGGTTCTGTTTCATGTTCGGGTTGCACTTCGGAACCTTTGGAGACTTCACTTTGTCTTAAAGCTTTTTTTGATCAATCCAGGCACTCGCCCACGAATCGTCCGGTAGCGTGGGCTGTGGCGTATCCTGTAAACAAAGAATAAAGTGGCTTTGCCTCCTGGTGCGTGTCGAACTTTACGTTTACGATTGTTGCCCTGGGGTGATACGCCTCCTTTCGATAGTATAGTTGTAGCAACACTCGTAGTAGCAATAGTTGTCACAGCATACAGAGCAGTAGGGTAGCCACGGTGCTCACAAGAAGCGTGGCCATGATGACGTTGAATGAGCTTCAAGCCACAGCATGAAGCACTGTACTCCAACACTGGAATGCCTACCATGATAAGAGCCTAGGTTTGCACTGACAACATGTTCACGGGTTGTAGGGGTGGACATATTTCGTATCGTCAATGCACTATTGCCGAGATACGATAGCCCCAACACGGGTAGAGAAGTCTTGACTTCATGTTGGGCCTGTTGGCTTTACTATTCTCAAGGAAATCGAGGGTTTGGGCTCGATATGGAGTCTTGCATGTTTAAACCGCAAACCCCAATACTAAACCCTATAAACCCTAAGCACCAATACCCAAACCCGACGCTCTAGACCCGACTTCGGCTTTGCCAGCACACCTTCCGGCCTGGAATCTCGGTAGCTGCACGGAAAGACTGTAAGACCCCTTGGTAATGTAGAAGCATAAACCATGGGCTTCGGTCTTGGGGTTTGCATCTGGTTTCGGTCAGATTGCTCATGCTCCTCCTTAGGCGTTTAGATTAGAGTTTAGGGTTCAGGGTTTAGGGTTGTTGCAGAATAATTAATATACCCGAATTATTTACAGTCGGCCTTGACTGCACTGCTAGGACATGAAAAAAGTTACGTGTCAGCTTGCAGGAAGTATGTCGCGCCCTACGTCACGCTTCTTGGCAGTTCTTGTGTCAGCTCGGCTTAGCTCAAAGCCATCCTTGTTTTGCACCCAGCTAGCTTTGCCTCGAGAACTGCCCCATGAGTCACAGTTTGTTTGGCAACATGCAGTGTTCGTTCTGGACGCTGCGCATTTCGTTTCCAGCTTGGCGGGTCATGTTGGTTCAGCCGTCGTGCACCCGTATCTATATGTGTGTGTATCTATAATATATATATATATATATATATGTACATACATATGTATATATATATATATATATACATACATATATATATACGCATACATATATATATATATATATATATATATATATATATACACATACATACACGTATACATGTACATACGCATACATACATATACACACATGTGCATGTATATGTATATGATCGGTATATGTAATTGTAATGTAAATGAATGTGTATATGTATATGTATATGTATATGTAGATGTAGATGTAGATGTAGATGTAGATGTATATGTATATGTGTATGTGTATGTGTATGCACTTGCACATGCATATTCATATGTATGTACATGTATATGTATATGCATATGTGTATGTACATGTTCATGTTCATGTCCATGTGCATGTATATGTATATGTATATTTGTATGTACATGTATATGTATGTGTATGCGTGTATGTGCAGGTGTATATGCATATATGCATATACATATATATATATATATATACGTATGTATATGTGTGTATGTATATATGTAGATATATTGTGTTCGGCTTAAGTCATTATGTGCTACTATATAACGTTGGCTGCTGTTCAGGAGGAGCTGAGGCTTTGGGTGCTGCTGCTGGGGCCCAGCATACGGAAAGCACTGCTGCGGTCAGGTCTGGAGGCGAGGATGCTGTGAACGACATGACTTAAGATAGGGTATAGCATAGGGTATAGAACAGGGTTTAGGGTAGTAAAAAGTTCAGGGTATAGTATAGGGTTTGTGGTATGGTATAGGGTTTAGGGTATAGTATAGGTTTAGGGTGCAGTATAGGGTTTAGGGTTTATGTGGAGCAAATTGTGGCAACAATGTCCTTAGCCGTGCCAGGGATCGCAGACGTTCACGTGTTTGTTCCCACCCCGCTCAACTCAGCACGGCTTCCCCCAACATCCTGCACCCATGAATGGCTACCTCTCAGTAACCTCAGTCTTTTGATGTTTGTGGTGACTAATGGTGGTGGCATTAGTTCAGTCGAGCACCGTTTCCCCAGCTTATAGATCCAAGATCCTGAACCCTCGACCCGAAACCGTAAAGACTAAGCTCAAATGCAGTTCAGCTTGGGACTGTCAATCCAAAGCACCAATATAAAACGGGTTTAGGCCTTAGGGTTTAAAACCTAAACTCCTACCTTTCGAAGGCTGTTTGCCCACCACACTCTGTGCTGGTCCCTCGCCGGGATGCACTTCCGCCGGCGCTGCGGGGCACGGCGAAGGCACTGCTTCGAGTGTCACCCTGCAGCGGTTGATAGTTACTGTGTTACACTTACCTATGGTCTCTATTGTAGTTCCTTTTTTGGTTGACCAATTTTATGGTTAGGATCCTGTACTATAAATTTGCTTAACCAAACAAGGGAACTTCAATGGAGACTATAGGTACAGTAGCTACTGTTGACACTGGTATGGATAATGTTGTTGGTGCTCGTTTTGTCTCTGGTTGTTTGCTTGTTTCCCTGTTGATTGTTACGGCTACGGTTGTTGTTGCCGTTGTTGCTGTTAGTGGCGTTGGTGTTGGGAGTTGTTGGTGTTGGGGGCGGTGGTGGTGGTGGTGGTGGTGCTTGTGGTGGTGGTGTGGTGGTGGCGGTGGTTGTGGTGGTGGTGGTGCTTGTTGTTTCTGGTTCTTGCTTATTGTTGCTGGTCGTTGCTTGTAGTTGCGTGTTGTTGCTTGTTAAGGCTTGTTTTCGTTCGTTGCTGGTGTGTTGGGTACGGCCCCCACTCAGTAATAGTTGAATAATATTCATAATATCGATATATTAGGACCTTAATAGTGGCCCTATTATGGACTCTTACTGTATGGGGGCAGTACCTAACTCGTGTGGTTGTTTCTTTGTTCGTTTGTTTGTTTGATGTTGTTGCGGTTGTTGTAATTAGTTGGCTGGTTAGCTGGCTGGAGGGCAGGCTCGGAAAGTGCAGCCTTCAAAGCGACGGTTCCAAGTGATGGTGTGTGTGTGTGTGTCTGTGTGTGTGCGTGTTCTTCTGCTCCCACTCTGGAGCTTAGGTTCAGAGGTGGCGCCAGGAAAAATTGAGATGCGAGATGGATCGGCCTTGCGCAGGGTCCGAGTCCCGTTTGCCTGCCGAACCACCATGCTCCAAATTCGCTCCAGACAGAAGTACCCTAAGGCCTAAGGGTCCAAGTACCTAATTATCATAATATACTCTCCGAAATGCTAACCTACATGACTAATATCCTAAACCCAAATACCCTAGTATTGGGCGCTACAAGCAAGCTCTGCCCGGTATTCCCAAACCTTCAACCCCGCACCCGGAATCCTAAACCCAAGACCCCCGAGCCGCCCACCCCAGACCCCAAAGCGTACATCCCCAAACGCAAACCCCAAACTCTAGCGAACCGCACCAAACCCTACTAGCCCTCCCCCCACCAAGACCCGAAGCCTACACCCGCAAACCCCGAACCCTGACCCCCCCTTCAAAAAGCATTCTAGGGATTTGTTCATAAGTTCTTGTAGGATCCCTAATATGACTGATGGTATATACCTTAATTTAAACTCAGGGCATTTATTCCCGAATACGCTTGAAGGTTTTGGATTTTGGAAGATTTGGGTGTGAGCTGCCAAAGGCCTCGTTAGAAGCCCTGGAGCGGAAGGCGCAAGATTGCAAGCTGGGCTCGTAGATTTCGGAGGCTTTCCGGGTTTAGGGTATAGGGTTTAGAGTACAGGGTATATAGTGTATAGGGTATATAGGGTTTAGGGTCTAGGGTTTAGTAGGGTCTAGGGTTTAGGGTTTACCAACATCCCCAGCTACCCCGTATGAGAGCCCAAGTACCCACTATTAGGGACCACAAGGCCTCTAACAAAGGGTAGTTGAAAGGGTTTAGGGTTTAGGGTTTAGGGGTTAGGGTTTAGGGTTTAGGGTTTAGGGGTTAGGGTTTAGGGTTTAGGGTTTAGGGTTTAGGGGTTAGGGTTTAGGGTTTAGGGTTTAGGGTTTAGGGAGGCTTCGTTCCCTTTTTGTTGCAGGGTTTAGGGTTTCACTTCCGGGGATTTACGATCCAGGATCTGTGGTTTCAATGTAAGCAACCATCACTCTAAGGGTTTCTCAGGGTTTTGGAGAGTTTTGCGCGGTCTTAGCTGACCACAGCAGGAAAAATCATGCTGTTCACTACCTATCCCAATGGCCAATGGCGTTTCAAGTTGAAATCATCCTTAGCAAGGCCCATTTTCCAAGGGGTCCCGATAAGCAAGGACCCACCACATATAGCGTCTACATAATCTACTTAAACTAAAAGTTCATGTCTATGTAGAGCTGTGTCCTAATGATCTCAAGCTTCGACCTTAGTTCGATTCGGGAAGTGGAGTTGCACGCCACCCTCAGTCAGCAAACAGGCAGCCCTTCAGATCCTTTGCTGGGCGAGTTGGCTCTGCTTTGGTTTGGATGTTGTAGGTTTGGATGTTGTAGTCCAACAAAGGGCAGGGCGGAACTCGATACTCATTCTCTGCACTCAGTTCAGAAACATCAGCAGTCGAAACAGCAGTAGCACCATCAAGCGTCGTACCTTTAAACATGTCAAATGTACAAGCAGCAGCGACAGTGAGAGACTAGTGACATCACGAGTACATCAGCATTACTATTCTTACAAGGTGCCAGCGACAAGAAAGGGCAATCACAAACCCTAGAGACCCTAGGCTTCCAAGGATCGTATAGTTGGGGTACTGGATGTCTTAAGGACCCAATAAGGTCCAGGAAGCATAGGAAGAACAAAGCCCTAAGGCCCTCAATCCCTAAACCCCAAACCCCTAAACCCTGAACCCCTAAACCCTAAACGGCTAAACCGTAAACCCCTGAACCGTAAACCCTAAACCGGCAGAGAGCATGTAGCTGTTGCCTCTCGCGAAGCCGTGTTGAGGCCTTCAACGACTTCTGCAGCTGGGACACCGATTGGCTATTGCACTTCCCTCCAAAGGACATAATATGGAAGCATTATACCATAATCATAATATGGAACCCCCAAACTGATACAGGGAATAGGGTTTTGGGGCCCATTATACCATAATTGTTACTTTCTGCCAAAGGACATAATCTAGGGGCCTAGCAATTAGAATAGGGTTCCTTTAAAGGGCTCCTTTAAGGGCTCTATAAGGGATTTAGGGATATAAGGGCGTTAATTGTTAGTAACGATGCAGGCCCCTATATTAGGTGTTAAGCAGTCTCCTTTGCTCGGTCTCCACAAGGATACGGCCTTGACACGTCACAGACAGGCCAGCGTTCAGCGACGGCTTCAAAGATGTTAAGTTCCGCCCGGGTTATATATAGGAGTTTCCGAAAATCAGGGATACCTTATGTTGGAGTCCTCGTATTGAGGATCCTACTATTTAGGGCACTATTAGGGTCTTTCGGAAACTCTCACATAGGCCGCATCATATTCCTGCATGCTTTGTTCCATCCATAAACTCCTGCTGTCACAACTGCGGAAAGTACGTAATGCTGAAGAGCCATGATAAATAAATACCATTTATATGCAGAATCCAGTGCGGCTGCGACGAGCGATAGGTTGAGGAATACTGACCCCTAGCATCGGTTCGAGGTCGCGCCAGAAACCTTGGCAAACTGTGCTTCGACTGGGCCAAACAGGCAGCATTGGGGCTTGTGCAAAGACTTGAATATTCTAGTAGTTGTGTAGTAGTGATTGGTCTAGTAGAAGTGAATCCCACATCCTGCATTTGCAGTGTGAGCAAGAGAAGCCACCGGTTCACTTGCAATTGCTGCTTCCGCTTGCTGCATCTTTAGCTGCTACGACTGGCAACTACATGATGACATGGCACAATGGCAGTTGCATCCGTAGGTTCTGCTGCTAAGATTACGGCTGCTAGACGGCCACGACTACTTCCTCGGCGACTGCCACCACTAGCTTTGCATGCAGCTCTTAGCTCGGATCCAGTTCCAGATGTTCCCTAAACAGCCCCTCCTAATTATTGTTGACATATCACGATGTTATTATCCTTTTTATTGCTATGAAATTTGATTATTATTTTACTATACTATTATTCTTTTTGGTTACTACTCTATTATCTTTTCTTTTTTGGTTATGATTTTACTATTCTAGTCTTCTTTCGATCATCCAGCAGCTCGATTGACAGAAGAGTCTCGGCCTGGCAATCCCCAAGGGTCCATGTACCCAAATAGTCTAGGACTCAGAGTAGGCCCTTATTCCCTTTTTTAGGGTTCAGGTTCTCTTAGAAGCCCCTTAAAAGCAAAAAGGGCACCCTTTTTATTCCTAGGTTACTCTTGGGTCTAGTAGTACATACTTTGGCCTTAAAGTAGTTCCTATATTGATACTTTGGGCCCTAAGTATATACTATTTGGGTACATGGAGCCTCAAACCCTAACCCCAAAAACCTGAACCCTACCCTAAACCTTAAACCTTACACCCTAAACCTTAAACCTTAAAACCTAAACCCTCAACCTTAAACCCTAAACCTTGGGGAATTGGTGCAGGGCAGATGCGGCTGTGCCGCTGCCAAGCCGAAGGCTCGACTGCGGCGCTGCATCTGCCGAGTCTTGGGTTTTGGGTTTTTGGGTTCAGGGTTTAGGATTTAGGGATTGGGGTTATGGTTTAAGATTCTGTGATTGTTTGTAGATTCAGGGTCGCAGTTTCTTCATGCCCTATCGTCGGTATAGGCTGTGCGTCGTCCCTTCTCGGGATGAAACTCCTGAAATCTTCAGCTGCAGGAGAGCAGGCGTCTAACAATGCCAATCCGATGCTTAAGCCGCAGAATTCGTTGCACATGCCCAGTAGTCTTGCATAGCCAAGACCTGTTCCAGGTCTGGTTGTACTCGAAGCTCGCTGCTCACGATGGCGTTGCTCACCTTGCGCGCCCCGTTTCGGTCATGCGAGGCACTCCTGATCCTACAGGCACGCTATTTTGCCGCGAAGGGCCCGGGAGGAGGAAGGAATCTGAAGCAGTGGTGCCAAACGCCCGCATCCACGATGAAGATGCTGCAAGAGCTGAAGATGGCCAAGAGGCCTGACTTGATTTACCAGCTACTTGAGGCTCTCGAAGTGGAGGGCCGGCTACAGCTAAGCCCAGCCCACCTGACGGTAGGGATTACCGCCTGTTCTGGAGCGGGGGACTGGGAGCGAGCTCTCGCTCTTTTTGCCTCCATGCCCAAGCACGACATATCTCCGGACACTATCAGCTGCAGCGCTGCTCTCAGTGCCTGCGAGAAGGGCAAGCAGTGGCAAATGGCCCTAGCTTTGTTCGAGTCGATGCAGAGGCAGGAGATTCCCCCCAACGTCATTACCTTCAGTGCTGCCATCAGCGCCTGTGAGAAGGGCATGCAATGGCCTGTGGCACTGCATCTTTTCCACGCCCTTCCCCAAGCACAAGTTGCCCCCAACATCATAAGCTACAGCGCGGCCATAAGCTCCTGTGAGAAGGGCCACCAGTGGCAGTCCGCAGTGAGCCTCTTGCGCTCCATGACAAGGGTGAAGATACGGCCAACCGTTGTCAGCTATAGCGCGGCGATTAGCTCCTGCGAGAAGGGTGGGCAATGGGAGCTGGCGATGCACCTCTTCCACACCATGTCAAACAGCCACATACATCCCGATGTCATCGCTTGCAGTGCCGCTATCCGTGCCTGTGAGAGGGGTGAACAGTGGGCTCTCGCTCTGAAGCTTCTATCCATCATGCCAGCACTTACGATAACTCCCAATGTTGCTAGCTATTCTGCGGCCATCACCTGCTGCAAACACGGCACGCAGTGGCAGCTTGCTGTGCACCTTCTAGGGGCCATGCCCAAAGACCACAAGCCTTCACACATCATCAGCTACAATGCCACAATCGGAGCTTGCGGCAAAGCTAGTCACTGGCAGCTCGCTTTGACCTTGTTTGGGGGGATGGGCAAGGTCTCACTCCTTGCTAACGCTATGAGCTATGGAGCCACGATCGGCGCCTGCACGGCAAGTGGACAATGGCAAGCAGCGTTGTGCATGTTCAGCGCCATGCAACTCGGTGTCGAGTTCAGTCTGTGTCCGTTGACACTACATAACGGCCGCTCGAAGAGGTGCAACTCGTAACCGAGGCAGCAAGCATCTGTTGACCCGAACCCGCTGTCGTACAGCGGCACCATCATCGCTTGCCTCTTGGCATGAGTTGGATGATCATCCATCGGATAGCAGGGTGACGGGTGAGGTTTGAGGGCCCGGAAGTGGTGCGGGCGGCTGTTTCTTGCCCCGGCACACGAATAGATTAATTGGTGTGACGGCGGTTGTGGTGGCAGTAGTAGTAGTAGTAGTAGGAGGAGGAGGAGGAGGAGGAGGAGCAGCAGTAGCAGTAGCAGACGCAGTTACAGAATCAGTGGCACTAGGAGTGACAGTAGTAAAGAGTAGGAGTAGTAGGAGTAGGAGCAGGAGTAGCCCGAGCAGCCCGGAAGTTGTGGAGCGCCCGGCAAAGGCAGTGAAGACCACGGGGGTTCCAGAGGCGACAGGTAGGAGTAAGAGTTGTAGGAGTAGGAGTAGGAGTAGTTACTTATTGTGGATGTAAGTAGAAATTGAGCAGATGAGGTCAAATCGGGGCACAATGGCAGCAGGCTGTGCACCTTCTCAACATCATGCCAAATGCTCCTTGGGTGTCCAAAGACAGCGAAGCGCGCTCGCACTCACACACACACACACACACACCATCGTGTAAAGCTTGGGATGCCGGTTCCTTTCTGTGATTCCGAGTGTTGAGTTGTTAGCTGACATGACACGCGGTGAGAGTTAGAGATTCCTCCGGCAACTCGAGGGGCAGATCTTGCCGGACATCGCGGACTTCCAGGCCGTCAAAAAAATAAACCCGAGCCCCTAACCCGAATCCGTGAATCCCCCATGGATTCGCGAACCAGAGGTCTTGGACAGAAGCAGCGAGCAGCCTTAAGCTAAACTGAAAAGCTGCAGCCGCCAGGCCGTTGTCAGCGCCTGCGATCAAAGCTCACAGCGAGCATGGGCACTGGAGCTTCTGCGAAAGGAGAATTCAAGCAGCCTGTGCTTCAAGAGGTAAATCTTCGCAGGGTCATCGTCACCATCATCACGCCCATCATCAGTTTTGCATTGCATGCGCTGGAAAGGAGTTGAGAGCACAAGAATTCAGCGCGAATCCCTAAGAATTTTAATCTTAACACCCTATGACCCCAAAACCTCAAGCTAAAGGTGACAATTACCACCAATCACCAGCAGCCTGGAATCCGTTGCTGCTGCCATGCGAAAAGAGAGTTCGGGGTTGGGGTTGAGGGCTTGGGTCTAGATCTTCAGATTTTGGCACTGCAAGCGCCGGGCTTTACATCGAAGTCTATGGTGCAAAGTTCAGGGACAAGCGGTTGAACCCGACGCTTTTTTCAGAAGCTGCCTGCGTTACTTGCCAGTCACGTAGTTGGCTCCTGCATTAAATATGCGTAGATCGGTGTAGACCTTCGGGTGCACCAGCAGTACAAGGATATCAATAAGGGGGTTTCCATGTTTTGCTTTCATCCAGCAATTGTCGTCGTTGCATGCGCAGCTGTGTTTGTAGTTGCACTGGTGGTTGCTGCTACTGGTTTACCACCTGCACCACCACCAACACCAAGGAGCAGTAGCAGGAGCAGCAACAGCAGCAGCGCAGAAGTTGCGACTCTTCAGCATTGTTGCGGTCCTTACATGACAGGCTGTTAATGCTAAGTCCCGGCCTGAGGCCTGAAGGCCAATGTACTCACCCGCAGCCTTTCTAAGGAGTCTTAGGCAGGATCTTTTACGAAAGCTAGCTGAGGGTTGGACCGAGTACACACAGCATAGCACTAATCATCGCAAGACCGATGCAATCAGAACACACAACTACTCCAAAGGCAACATCCAGTTTCGCCAGCTTGATAGAGACACTTTTTATTTGAGCCGGCTATCCTTCAACCCTCGTAAGTGCCGTGAACATCCGTGAACCCAGAGTGTTGAGCTTCGACCTACTGCTTCGTTTTTGCGAGGAAAACCCTATAAAACAGGGGCTTAACTGATTTTAGCTATACGGTTGTGGTGGTTCCTTCTTATCAGTGCACTATAATGTACCCCCCCCCCCCAAAGCCCATTCTAATTCTTAGGGCTCCTATATCAACCCTAAACCTCCAAGTTTGGATCCTTCAAAGATACGACTCCGAGTCGCAAGTTGTCCGAAGTCTGCATCCCGGACCTATGAGCTGGACCAAGAATATGGGAGTTTCCGAAAATAGGGGACCCTAGGGTTCCTTTAATGGGTTCCTTAAATTAAAGATATCTATAAGGCTTCTTTAAAGGGTTCAGGGTTTAGGGAGTTTCCGAAAATGGGGGACCCTGATATAGTACCCTAAACAGTAGGATCCCGGATCCCGAAAACTATATAAGGACACCAAAAGAGGGTACCCCTAATTCTCGGTTACGATGCGGGCTCCAATTAATTATTCGAGCCTGAAAATCATACAAATACGGCCTTGGGGGGGGGGGGGTATAGTGTACCATAGGTGTATGAAGGAACCCCGAGCAATACTAGTAACAGTACCAACTGTTTGAGGCCCCTGCCTTACTGAAGTTTCACGAGCTTGTTACATTTTCAATTGATCGCGGCATCAAGCTTTGACACATCTATAAACAGAGCTCTTCAAAGCCGCAAACACACCCTAAGCCCTAAATCCCTTAAGCAAGAAAGCGAAACTACCATAGAACTTTGGAGAAATCGAAGTGGCCAGGGCCCTTTCCTCCATCCCAGCGGGCCAGGGGAGGTTCGCCAGGTCCGGAACTAGATTTAGGGTTTTCGGATTAGGTTAGGAATTTATAGGACTTAAGGGCCTAATAGGGTTTTCGGATAAGGAACTGAGGATTCGGGGCTAGCCCTATACCCTGGTTTCGGGTTTAGGGTTTTAGGCCCTTAGGTTCTGGAGGGGGGAATCACTTCTGTAGGGTTTACGGTCTTTAGGGGCTTTGGGGTTCAGTCGCGGCTGGCAGGCTTTTGGGTTCCTGCAGAAGGTGAAGGTTGAGGGCTGAAAGGGTTCAGCGTTCAAGATCCGGCTTAGGGCCTAGGGTGTAGGGTTTAGGGTTTAAGATCCGGCTCTGAGACATGGCCTCGGGTGTGGACCACTAGGCTGTGCTCTGCAGGCTCACGAAGGTTGGAGAACAGGCTTTTTCGTCAAGAGGTAACATTGCTGAGTTGTAGTCAGTAAGAAGAGTCTGTGAGCAAGCCATGCAAGTAAGGACGGAAGGAAGGAACGACGGAAGCAGGCAAGCAAGCGAGCGAGTAAACATGCATGCCGTTCGTGGATGTGTTCAAAGCTGCGTGGCGGTTTCAATGAAGTCTTGAATGAATGTGTTGCGCAGCCACTTGCAAACTAGTCTTGCTTGGTCTTCTCGCCCTCACGCGTTAATTTAACGGCACAGTGCGAGTTTCTCTGTGCCCAAATAAAATACCTGTTGGTGCATGCAAACAACATTGTAAGACAGCATGTCCATTGATTCAAAGACGTGTTTTGCATTTGGCAGGTTCGCAGCCTGCTTCAGCTCTTCTTCAAGAGCCAAGCTGTCCCAGACGAGGCAACATCTCTTCAGACAAACCATGAAGGTTCGGGCTCAGCTCTTACAGACCTGTCTTCCAGAAACGAAATATCAAGGGTAAAGCGGTAAAGCCCAAAGCAAGCTTAGCAGCAGTCGCCAGAAGAAGGTGCATCTATCCCTCTGGTGGGAGCAGACATCCACCAGGTTGGAAGACTAGCCAACCCAGCCTATGGGCCCGTGTACCCAAACAGTATACACTCTGGGCCCAATGTACTTAGGGAATACTTTAAGGCCAATATTATTCTATATGACTACATGGACCCTGAGGCCCAGCTACAATTCACGACCTTCTGCACCTCCCGAAAGCCGACCACGATTGTTGCTACGGCCCTGTGGGCACTGAAACTAAGACTCACAAAACATCTAGGCTACCACCTGGGTATAAGTATATAAGCCGGAACAATTCCCCAATCGTGGGTGTTTGACACCCTTAAGCTCAGGGTCTAAGTTCATGTAGTAGACCGTGTGCTGTTTGTATAGCGTTTTGATGATAATGGGGGCTGGGAGTAGAAACAGGGACCTCTGAGCGTAGTGATTCTTGAATCCCAAAGGGTCCAAGTTCCATTATAGTAGGTACTGAGTAGGTGCTTAGTAGGTATTTGGGCCCCGAAAGTATATACTATACCATTACTTGGACCCTTTGGGAATGTTGTTCAAGGTCTGACGATCCTTGCGTCGAGAAGTTGGGAATCCTTGTCACACAGTACCTATAGTATCCATTGTAGTTCCTTTTTTTGGTTGACCAATTTTATGGTTAGGATCTTGTCATTTAAATTTGGTTAACCAAAAAAAGGAACTACAATGGAGACTATAGGTACAGTGCCGAAATAGTAGAATGCTGATTTCAGGGTGTACGGCAGCTTGGCTGCGCAGGGAGGTTTAGTTTACCCATAGGCTCCATAGTAGTTCCTTTTTGGGGCTTAATCGCAACAAGGAACTACTATGGAGACTATGGGTACCATGTTGTTCCTAATTTCAGTCTTGGCCCATAGACGAGCTCCTCGCCATCCAGCAGCCTAAGGGCCTAGCTACGGGATTCAGGATTGTAGGGCAATGTCGGATCTGGCGTTCCCTGGCAGGGCTCTGTCTGGAGGCTACGAAGTTCATAAACACACCTGCAGCTCAGAAAAAGCGATTGCGGTATCTATAGTTCCATTCAGGACTTTACTGTATACTTATCTGTGGGGTCCCTGCATCAAAAATTCCCTAAACCCTAAACCCCTAAACCCTATAACCCTAAAAATCTTGCAACCATGAACCCGGAGCCTCTACAGCTCCAAGCTCCATGTAAGTTGCCAGTCCCGAAGGTCCCATGATCCTTTGAGATAGAAGCCGGAATGAGTATTAATAATATTTCCCAGAATTCCCTGTTGCAAATATGCTGAAAGCCCCGATCTTACGTATTGTGTGAAGGTTCCGCCGTCACGGAGCGAAGATGCTCTTCACTCCGAGCAGCCAGCGGCGCGCCGGAGAAGAAAAGAATCCAGCGACAAAGAAATGAACACGGCGCGTTGCACATGTTAAGTTTAGGTGTTATATTGCTGAGGGCGTTTTTGCCCCAACATGCTTAGTGCTCAGCTGTTGGCTGAAGTTGGAGTTCCGGAAAAGTAGGTGCCCATGCAGCACACAGGGTTCTGGCTCGGCCGATGTGGGACGCGCGAACCAAAGTAACCCCGAGTCCTGAAACTTTGGACTGCGAGTCTCAAAGCTTCAAACCCATACTGTGGATGGACAATATCCTGCATGACCCAATATAAGGAATATACCATAATTCACATAGTTTAGGGTCCTTAGGGTCATGCAGGATTTTGTCCATCAACAGTACCACCCTTGCTGGAGACCGAGAGCAAAAGCAAAAACCGCGCACTACGCACATACCCAAAGGGTCCAAGTATCATTCTGGTATATACTTGTAGGGCATTATGGGGGTCTAAGTATATATCATGATGATACTTGGACCCTTTGGGATACAAGCGAGTCGAAAACCCAAGTCAGAGACCAGAAGCCTGGCTGAAGCATTTTGGAGCTGCGATGATTTCAAGCCGCCAGAGACAACCTCGACGAAGGCTTCGAGTAACCTGGCCTCAATTTAGAGCCCCAAGGGTCAAAGCAGGTACTTGTTGCACGATACTTATTATTAGGACTTTGGGTTTCTTTGGTCACCAAAAAACATAAATCAGAACTACTTGGGCACCTTGGTACCGTTACCCGCAAGTTAAACCCTACTTGAGAATTCCAGTCTTGGGTTTCGTGGCTGAAGGGTCCGTAAACCCTGTGTGCGCAGCTCTGAACCCTAAACCTTAAACCCTAAACCCAGTTCTTGAAGGGGCAGAGAGAGCGGCAGACACGCCTGAAGACAGCAGCTTCACACGAGTTCTAGCTTTGGATGTGTCACAGAGAACAGGCCTCTTGCGATAAAAAGGTTAAAAGGAACCCTGAAGAGTAGTTACAGCAAAGATTATTGTTCTAACGATTACGGTCCCGATTTCAGCGAAACGGACATCATGGCTACAAGCACGGAAAGTGCTGGTATCAAGATTCAGCGTCAAGGTGGTGCCTCGATTTATTGCCAATCCTTTTGTCGCTTTTTTAAAAATCGAATGATTAGTATAATGTACCCCAAAACCCTACGTTGATCATTATCTTATAAGGCCTCCGTATCAGTTCCATGATTCCCACGAAAAGCTGGGCCCAGCGTCTTGGCCCAAACTTCCGGAACCTACCATCATGGCTTCGATGCATGTGCGGCTGGCTTCCGGTGAGGAGGTGATGACGCTTTCCGCAGAGGAGTTGCTTGGCTGGCTTCAAGGTCAGGATTCAAGTTCATGTTGCAACGGTAGGGGTCTATCCTAAGCACTACCTTTTGAGCCTATTTCACCTCAATCCCTTAATGATCCCAGTGTTTCTGGACCCTCGTGGCTCGTTTCCGGGATTACTGGATCCTGAGCTTCTTGGCAGGTATGGGTAGTTAGGCCGGTTCAGCAGTTCTGAACCCCAAACCCTAAACCCTAAACGCTACGTCTGAGGCCCTGACCCTAAAGTAGTAGTAGTAGTAGTAGTAGTAGTAGTAGTAGTAGTAGTAGTAGTAGTAGTAGTAGTAGTAGTAGTAGTAGTAGTAACCAAAGCCTATACTAAACGCTACAGACTAGGCGGCTTGAATGCCCAGGAGCCCCTGCCTTCGTTTGTGTAGGTCAGGGTCTTGGCACCATCTTGTCAGGAGCCAAAGAAGCACCCAAGCATAAACTTTCGGGTGGGATATCCCGATCTTATTGGCTTTAGAGGGGATTCTGGGATATCCCAACCTGATGCTTTTTGTTTAGGTCCTTTTTCTGGGACCCGATCTTGTTCTCTGAATCCGATATGGAGCCCTTATAGACCCTAAACCCTAAACCCAAAACCCTAAGCCCTTATAGACACCGCGGTAGGAAACCTCTTTGAGTGGCTCGCTTCATGTGAGTCATGGCTGCTCCGCTACACGCGCGGACTCGGTCGCCTGTGTACCCAGAGAAGCCCAATGCTCCGTAATTAAGGACTTTTAAGGTACCTATAGTATCCATTGTAGTTCCTTTTTTTGGTTGACCAATTTTATGGTTAGGATCTTGTCATTTAAATTTGGTTAACCAAAAAAAGGAACTACAATGGAGACTATAGGTATAGGAGACTTGATACTCGCTAATGGGGTATTGGGCTTCTGTGTAGAAGACTTCAGAGGACTGGTCCTTCAATTGGAAGGACCAGGTCAAGAGGCAGTGTTCCCCATGTTAAACGGTTCAGGGCCCTAGCACAAATAATACTGTTTAGGAGTTTACCTTTATCCCCAAACCCCACAAAATAGTGGGTTCTGCTCCCTGAATTCTGCGGTACGACTCTTAAAACGGCAGATTTTCGGATTTTCGGATCCACCAGTAGCGTGTCGGACAGATCCCTTTAAAGGAACCCTGATCCCGTGTGTGAAGCCCCAGGTTGCAAGCCTTGGCTTTGCTCGAGCGGCCAGTGCATGTTCTGAAGCAGCGACTGGGAAGCCATTGTGGTCAGACGCGCTACCGGCAGAGGCTTTTCCACAACTCTGCATGTTGGTGCAGTGTATATAATTGCATGTAGTAATTATTGATTATGGGAAGTATAACAATAGTAACTATTCGTTAAAATTAGTACTTCTTAACTCTAGTAATTAAATTAAAGTAATCACAACCTTCGAACCTTCAAGCTGCCCCACTCTCAGAGGCTCCTGTCTCAAGATGGCCAGATCCTCGGTGATACAGCCCAGCTACTGGGCACTTGTTAAGGAATTTAGGTTAAGTTACCATAGAAACCATATTAATCATTGTAAAATAGATCCCTGTCATGATAATTAACTTAAATCTTAAATCCTAAACCCTTATATAGATCCCTTAAAGGAGCCCTTATTGATCCCTATTAAAACAAGAACCCAGGCTACCCGCAGCCGGTGATCTGCAGCTGCTCGTTCTTCCTTTCGCGCGAGCTACGGAATCCAAAGCCGAAGAGCTCATTGTTGCAGCGGCCAACGATGCGACCAATGAGGCCCAGTCAGATCATTAATCATAACAAATTTATAAGTAAGCATAACAATAATCACAATAATAACAATGATAAAAAGAATAATAATAATGAGGCTTCGCCATAGGAAAGTATGAGAAATCATTCATAATAAAGCAAGCGAGACCTTTGTTATTTAGCTGTGCATCTGCTCATGTGCGAGCACATGCAGGGAGGTGCGTGCGTACGTCGCATTCAGCAAAGCATGTGAGAAGCAAGGCATACATGTTGAGTACCTTATGCGTACATATATGTACATATAGATAGATAGATAGCGAGTGACAGAAACAAGGACATGAGCTGAGACAAGTTAGTGCCGCATGGGATTTGGTGGCACCGACCTGACAATTTGAAAGCCCTACAACCTGCTTCGAAACAACCTGAAACTAAATCCTAAAACCTCCCTTCAGTGTGGTTACTCTGAATAAGAAGCCCTGAGGGTCCATGTGCTCATTTGTATATACTTTGGCCTTAAAGTAGTCACTATATAGGTACTTTAGGGCCAAAGTATATGCCATGTGGGTACATGGACCCTTGTAGGGAAGTAGTATCAATGACCAGTCTTCGCATGTTTCCGAAAGGGAGGTCCCAACAGGACACTAGGTCGCCGGCCGTAACAAACAGAACTGCAAGAACCAGAGTTCCCCATCAGTACCCACAAGGAACAATCCCTTAAACCCTGAACCTAGCAGCCAGGTTGAGGCACTGCTCCAGATGCCCCAGGATCCGGACCTGCCGGATGGCGATGGCGACACGGCCTTGCACCCGGGCTGCTAGCAAGCGGTTTGTGTTCAGGGTTTGGAGTTTAGGGTGTTAACTGAGCCGTTTGTTTGAAGGGTTTTGGTACGAGAGCATGGGGCCTAAGCCTAGGCTTCCGGGGGTCTCGGTTGTTGGAAGCTTTGGGTTCAAGGGCTTGGAGAAGTCTCAAGGGCTTGAGCCCCGAAGTTCAAAGCATCAACATCCTCCAACATTTTGCAGTCTTGATTTTCGTGCAAATCGTCCAGGAGTTTGGGCCGGGCAGTGCTTTTGACGAAAGTGGGAGCGTTGTATCGCTTGCGGTTCCGAGTGTTGAATTTCATTACATGAACTCCATGTCAAAGACATCACGGCCTAGAAGGGTTCCCTCTGCCACACCTGAAATCCACAGTTGCTGTGAAACCCCATGAAATCGAACCATGTGTTCGTCAGCTCGGCCGACGGCTTCGGAATACATATAATACTATAAAATAGAAATAACTGACTATTAAATTAAAATAGAGCTGTTCGCAATGATGGTGATTCACCCAGCGATCTTAAACACAATATGCAAACCTGATGTTAACACCAGAAACACCATGGAATAGAGAGTCTTAAAAAAATCGGCCCTAGTTACAAGCCATCAACCCCAAACCTAAACCCTAAACCCTAAGCCTCCTGGACCTTGATAGCCTCAAGCTGGAGGAACCTGGCCGCAGCTTTTGGTTGCAACGACAGCCTAGAGCTGCTGCTTGAAGCACGTGCAGATGCGACCTTCAGCTGCTTCCATTTAGGTCAGCGGGGGTCCTACACACTCGAACTCTGAACCCGAAAGTGGTTAAACAAAACCCTCGGTAGTGGTGTAGAGTTGTACATGTGGAACGTGTGAGGATTGGGTTCAGGGTGTGGAGTTTGGCCACAGCAGTTTAGGCCCTCATGCTTTGTCAGCATACTTTCGGTCACACAGTGAAAGATCATTGTCCTGACACATTGTCCTGTTGGTTTTACGTTTTACGCACATGCTGAGTTCATCTGGCTGATAGGTTGAAAAACCGGCATGCCAGACGAGTGTGCTTTCATGCTAGATGCACACATGTCACATGTATCATGTGAACGTACGCGTGCTATAATATCTTTATAAGAATGTGCGCTGATCCTACGCTGTCAAATCCTTCCCCTATATTACAAGCGACCACCGCCTCCCCCGGAACACCGAATATTATCTTCCATGAACCATTTATATAATATTCTTTATGGGTCAATACTTCGTGCTTTCCAAGCAACCAAGGAGCCAAAGCAATCGCCATTGGCTCACACCCCTTATCGCTGCAGCGGCGAACGGACGTTTGGGCACGACACGCTTGCTTTTAGAGGCTGGGGCCTCCCCAAACCCGACGGACAAGGACGGGCACTGTTTGAGCTCCGGTGATCCCCTAGACCCATTTACTTTAATCAGGGCTTGAGATTTCAGGATTGAGTGCTGTTTTGAACCTTTCACTTTTTCTGCTTTAAGGGCTTCAGGCTTCAGGGTGCCATGCTGCCCCTAAACCCTAAACCCTAAACCCTAAACCCTAAGAACCCTAAACCCTAAGCCCTAAACCCTAAACCCTGAACCCTAAACCCCGCAATGCTTTGGGGCTAACCTGGGATTTGGCTCCAGGACTCGGAGACTCCCCTCTTTGCAGCTGTGCGCTCTGGCCACTGGGAGGTGGCAGAGCTCCTGCTCCGTTCCGGGGCAGATCTAGAGCACACCACGAAGTCCCTTCGTCATAGTATGGTCATGTTGTACATGTTTATGGGTACTTAAACCCAATAAGGAATAACATTTGCCATTTTTCTAATACTATTTCAACCACGAACTAGGGCCGGCATGACTGCCCTGGGAGCGGCAGCACTGGGTGGTCACAGCCATGTGGCGCGTTTGTTACTTGAGGCACGTGCGCAGATTGATCCGGTCGACATTGCAGGCGAGACGCCTTTGTTCTATGCTTCGCGCGACGGGAAAGATGACGTCGCATGTTTGTTGCTGAAGGCAGGTGCCGAAGCAGATAAAGAGACGCCAGGAGGCCAGTTTCCCCTCCTCGCCGCTTGCCATGGTGGCCACTTCGATGTAGTCCGCCACCTACTGGAAGCGAAATCGGTGGTTGACAGGACTGGGCCCGACCTTAAAACACCTCTCATGATCGCATCCGGTTGTGGCTACACCCAAGTCGTATGGTTGCTTCTGGAGAAGAGGGCGAGCAAAAGTGCTACAGACATCTTCGGAGAGTCTGCGTATCTGGCAGCATGTCGGTCGCAGAAGCCAGAACTGATCCAACTCTTCACTGGCACTGGGATCCAGGACCTCTCTTGCAGCGAACCCTTGCTGCAGCTGGCATACATTCAGATTACGATGCATGCGATTGCAATTGTCTTTTTTTCGTTCCGCGCATGCCATGTGGAGTTCCGGCATTTCAGAATACAGGGCGATTCAAAAATCTACCCTCAATCCTACAAGGACACCCCGCAAACGTGCCTCAAATGATAAGACGCCATACAAAGGCCTAAACCCAAAACCCTAATCCCTACACCCCTAAACCCGCGACCCGAATCTCTAAACCCCTAAACCCCGTTCCTTTTTGTGGCTACCTTAGAGGTTTCTAGGTATGAACTCCAAAAAGGACCTACTAGTTCTTCTTTTTAGAATAAGGTAATCCCAGAAAGGAACTACTATGGAGCCTGTGGGTATCCTGTGTTTTCCGATGCATTTAGAACCTATTGGGTCCTGAAGTCCCACGAGCAGCAAATCCCAAACTTTGCACCATCCTTAAAATATAATAGGAACCCTAATATGGTTTAAGGAATATCCCCTAATTAATGCTGCAATCCTCAATGCCATGGATTGCTTGATTGGTGACTGCAGAGCTGGTATTCTTCGGCAAGCCAGGCATGCTTTCCGATCTCTCCAGCTTCACAACCCAGCGAAATTATACAAACTCATCACAAAAAAAGCATCTTAACTGCCAAACACCCTAAAACCCTAAAGACTAAACCCTAAACCCAGCACCTTCAGCCGAAGCAGCTTCATCTGTCTGGTGCTTAGTAGGGAATGGGGGAATGGATCCCTACAGTAGTCCTTATATATTCCCCAATAATAGTCTCCATAATCCATGCCCTGATTCCCGACTAAGAACCAGACAGTCATTTTCGGCCGAGGAGATGCCAGATGTGCAGAATCAACTTGCTGTCAGCGAGGGCTGAAAACAGGGATCAGGCCTTTCATCATAGGGACTTTCAGGGGGGTATAAGGATTCCATAAGGGTCGAAGGGGTCCTTTAAAGGCAGCTATAAGGGACCCTTAGGGGGTCAGGGGGGAGGGGTTAGGGGATCCAACTTCCTTCAATAGGCCTTATTAAGTCCTTAGCATAGCCCCTGTGATTTCAAGTTTGGATTTCAGGGCTCGGAGTTTTGGCTTTGGCCTCGGGCTGTGCGTTTGCCAGATTATTTCAATACATTGTGGCATTGCTCGTTGAAGTCACATGGATGTTCTTGAAAAGCATGTCATCTAAGCCCTAAGCCCGAAATCCTACTTGGACCAAGCGCCAATGGCATAGGCGAAAGATGGCGAAAGTTTGCTAGCGCGCAGGCCCTCACCATGACAATTGCATTTGCTCTGTCTGTGGCTTCCTTTTGTAGTTCGAATGACCTTCTTCAGGAAGGTTCTTACCGGCCCCCAAGAACAATAACAGCAAGAGTAATACGAAGAACAGTGATAACATTTTGACAATAACAAAACTGACATGAATAGTACATGAGAACAGCAATAATAGCACCAACAGTACCCATGGTCATAACCATTACAGTAATAGCAGGAGGAGGAGAAGGAGGAGAGGAGCAGGAGTAATAGTCATAGTCATAGTAGTAGTATTAGTATGAATGTTAGCAATTCGTACTAGCAATAATAATAGTAGTAGTAACAGTAGTAGTACTAGTAGTAGTAGTAGTAGTAGTAGTAGTAGTAGTAGTAGTAGTAGTAGTAGTAGTAGTAGTAGTAGTAGCAGTAGTAGTAACTCTCATCACAACACAATCAAGAATACTAACAGCAGGAATAGTTCTCTGGCATCAGTTCTGACGCACGCCTAAGCCCTGAAGCGCCGTCCTGAAGTCCTGAAGAGCTCTTCTCCGTACTTCCCCTGTATTCGGGAATGTGTCTTCAACTATGCTCCGGGGCTTGCTTTTAAGTTGTTTTTTTTGTTCCCGTTGGTCTGCTATATAATAAGATCCAGGATATGTTCCTTAGTCCTGGGCTGCTGGCTCTGCGAGTAAGCTTTGCTTACCAGGTGTGGGTGTCGAGCTTGCAGGTGGAGGATTTTGAGGGTGCCTTCTTCGTTGCTGCGCCTGTAGAACTCATCTTGCAGCTTAGGAACGTTAGAGGTGCCGCACGAAGCCTAAGTAGCATCTTTAGACGCACGAACACATAGCGATAGTTACTGATATGCACACATATATGTACTAGATATAGATTGATGTAGACATATACGCAGATACGCACGTACAAGCCGATCCCACTGGATCGTCCGTTGAGTATACACGGGAAACCAAGAAGGACTGAGGGCCCCTCCAAGTACCTTACCAGGATATCACCTTGTGCTGACCCTCACCATAGGAAAAAAGTAACATCCCTGCTCTTGAAGGCTTTCAGAAAAGCAATAACACAATTCTGTTAAAACCCAAATGCAAGCCCCAAAGCCCTACACCCGAACCCTTAACCCTAAGCCCTCAACCACAAAAGCGTAGACATATACATATACATACATACATACATATATATATATATATATATATGTATATATATATATATATATACATACATACATACATTTTCACTTGTTATTTAACTCATGTATTTGCTTGTGTGTTTGTTTATTCATGTGCGCGTGTGCTGTGTGTTTGTTTGTCTTTCTGTCTGTCTGTCTGTCTGTCTGTCTGTCTGTCTGTCTGTGTGTCCGTCTGTCAGTTGGTTTGTTTGTGTGTACATTGGTTTACGTGGTTGAGATATTTCTGCTATAACATAGAGTAATGATGGCAATAGTAAAAATGAGTACATGGTACAGTATCTGTATGTATGTCTGTAATTATGTATGTATACATACCTGTGTATTTATATACACATACATACATACGTTCTTTATATATAAATAAAATTATATATATACATATTTCTTGAAACACATAGACATCTCAAAAAAGAACTTAAGGCCTTACATTCCAGCGCAGACTCAGGCAGCTTCTCGGCTGTCTCAGCCTGGCGAAAGCGCTTGTGAACTCGACGCGTTAGGGCATTAGGACTTTGGTGGTTTAGTGTAGGGTTTCTTTAAGGCCTACCAGAAGAATTGTTGTATAATCATCCTGGGTATTGTTTGTCTGTTTCATGCTTTGGGCCTTTATGGCTTTGCGGCTTTGGTGTCTTAGACCATTCTTAAGGTCTCAGGATTAGGGGCGTGCTCCTAGACATACCCTGAGGCCCCAAACAGTACTATTACGTTGTAACCATAGCTTCCGAGGTTTCTCGAGCAACCTGTTTTTTAATTGGGAAAGTTCCAAGAGTCCAAGGCCAGTAGTTGTTTCAGGTATTACTTACTCGAACTACAAGAGTCACGACCAATCTTCACAATAAAACAGTGCCACAAAGAGAACGGGTCAGATTACAAAGAAATGCCACCATGAGGAATTCCAGCTCCGGAGTGGCCTTGTACATACCCATAGGCTCCTTAGTAGTTCCTGTTTGGGGTTCATATTTCGAATCCTATAAGGGCCCAAAAAGGAACTGCTATGGAGCCTATGGTAGGTTTGCACCAAGATGGGCCAACGCGCTTTCGCCAGTGCCCATAGTCGATCATGGACGCTGAGGTAAAAACGGTCGCAGGCTCATTGCTGCCCGCTCCGAGCAGTGGAACAGAGCACTATTTTCATAGTCGTTGTTTACGACGTATAAAGCACAATATATGGACCAACCCCTTCTAACTGAGAAAGACTTTTGTGACCAATGCCAACATGGCAAAAGCCGCGTTCAGTCTTCTAGTCACATGCGGACACTGCTGCAGTGAGTCGTTGCCGAAGTCTTCTGAGGGATCTGATGGCCTTCGATCAAGCATGTATTGATGTGGCACGCACAGTGAGTACCAAGCAAGGTCGTTCACTTGCTAGCTGACCTCAAACCTGAAACCCCAAACCCTATAAACCCTGAATCCTAAACCCGGAAGCCGTAAATCCTAAAACCCTCAACCCTAAAACCAAGTATTGGATCCAAGAGGTTTCAGCATAAAAGACCTGATCGCCCTAGAGCTTGTAAGACTACGACCTCAGGATTCTGAAGCAACAACCAGACAATTGGTGCACCCATTGCTTAACGCCAGAAACCCTACTAGGCGCTGGGCGCCAGTGCCCTTCTAGAGGGGCCAATGATCCCAATATTTGGAAAGGGGGGGTCTTAGACACACCCTACTTGAGGGCTCTGTGTCCAGGGTCGCTTCTTTTCCGAAGCTACCATATGGAGCATTGGGCGCGCGGCCCATTAAATACTCCCAATGCGCATGTTCGAAAACCCTGAAACCCAGCGCTGTTCGACCTCCTCGGAACCTCCTAAACCCCTAAACCCCTCTATAAACCATGATGGCTGACAGACTGACAAATGGCCGACCGGACCCCTAAACCCTAAACCACCCTCCCCAGACCCAAAACCATGAAAAAAAGGATCAACCCCACAGATGCCCGCAAAGAAGGCTGAGTTGCGAATACCGCACTGCAGAAGTGGTCAATCGTGGTACTGGTGCAGGGGCCCCGGGTTTTGGTTTCAACATGCGCGGCTTCCGTTTGCGTGAGGGATTCGTTCTGTCGTCTGGTCTGTGTGATGAGGAATTTGGGACACTAAGTCATTCGCGAGCTGAAAGGGCAGCAGATGCGACCCTATGACCCTGCATCTTCTTGGAATCCGCACCATCGCCATGGCAAGTCTGTCTCAAATAAGCACAAACCCGAAGCCCTACACCCTACCCGCACCCCCAACTACCCTCTCTTAGATCCGAAATACCCACGCTTAAGGACCATAAGATAAGGGCTCCATGTTATGGCACTTGGGTTCCTGGTACACCCCCCGGGTCGAGCAGCTTCCAGTTGCCCATCGAGACTAGTGTGGGGTATACTCACTATAACTATAATAAGGGTTTAGGGTTTAGGGTAATAAGGAACCCCCAAAATAGTAGTCTTGGATATTTAATCAATGACTTGGGCCCTTGCATAGCGATGCTCGCGAATTAAGCAAGGCGTCCCTTCCGACTCACCGACTCACCTTCTGTTGTCTACGGAAAGCGCTTGAAACAACACATTGAGTCTAGCGAAGCCACAGCAGGAGCAGCGCCAATAGTAGCAGCAATAGTAAGCAAGATACACTGTTCACCGGAGAAGACAAGAATCTAGCAACACCAGGATACATTCAACAGTAAAGAACAGCCCTAATCATTCAGTGATGATAATGATGACAGAACG